TTTATAGACATCTATTAATGTCGAGACTACAAATTCAAATTGAACGTGATAAGTGCAAAATTTGTTACATGCATGTATTCTTTCTCAATTATGTCCAATCATCCCAAAAACGCTGAGTGTAGACCTCATGATACAACTAACATTCGCACGATAAACCTATTCCTGAAATTGAATTACCCCAAATTTGAATTATCTATAAACTAGATGGTCACTTACCCTGAATTTAAGTTGTCTTTATATATTCAATCCAGAGTAATGTTGGCCATATAGGTCTTGGTTTTAAAAACTAATTCGAGTGTAAATGTCATTGGTTAGAAAATAAATAAATAAATATGTTCTTTCACTTTGAAAAAGTGAAATAGGAAAATCAACTTAACTCATCTGTAGTCAATTCTAAGACTCTTAGAGTGTACATGCAACTCTTGTTTCCTAACCTATTGGGGTACATCCCGTGATTAACCTCTCTCACGATGCTCTAGGGGGGGCGGTGGGGGACTCTTAAGGTTGGGGTTCAACCTTTTAAGACTCTTAAACTGTGTTTGATTGTCAATATTTTTTCTATGAAAAATGTGTTTTTCCTCAAAAATTTATATTTTTGTACTATTTGATTGACATTTTTTTCCATGAAAAACATTTTTCTACTTTTGGTCACATGATTATATTTTTCTCAAAATCAAAGAAAATATTTTCTTTAGAAGGAATAAGATTTTATTTTCCAGGAAATGCACTCTCTCTTTTTCTCTCTCATCTATCCACTCTCTCACATCTACCCACCAATAAAAAAAGAGCAAGTATAATATTTTTTAGATTAAAAGTTAAATCAATCAAACACATTCAATTGACAATTTTTATGCAAATAAATTCTAGACAGTTGAATTACTTAGAATTTATTTTCTTTCTATGCAAATTTCGTGTTTGCAATCAAATGCACCTTTAATGGATCTAAAAATTTTACCCATAAATCAATCGAATTTTGAACTAACTCTCAATTGATTCAATTAAATTGATTAGTCCAATTTGACATTTATAGGATGAGGGAGGATGAAGGGTTTAGGAATCATGATCACGACTATTTTGAATGTATATGCGAGAGAACGATCCTCGCACCGCTGGGAAGGAAAGTAGGAAAAAAAATCCTAGTAACCAAACAAAATAATTGTTCGTTAAAGCATACATCACACATCATATAATTATCAAAATATGAACTAATATATGAGGTATTTGGCAACCATTCTTAACAATTTAAACTTTATAAAATGAAAATCAGAGTTTTAATATGGTATCATAGCCCATTAAGTTCAAACGAATCATTCGATCCTATTAAAGCTAAAAATGAATACACGAATTCAAAAATTGATCTGATTAAACGAGTCATCGTCTTCCGGAATCATATTAAAAGATAAATCTTACATCAAATAATTACTAAAATATAAATTAATATATAAGGTTTTGGACTACTTATTTTAATAATGTTGACATTTTAAAATGAAATATCAAAATTTTATAGTGTTTTTATTAACTTCTACTCATAAAAATTGTCGGCAATCATCAAACAATGCTAAAACATGTTTCATATTCCCAAGCAAATAATCACCTTTCACTCCCCAAAAAGCTGCATATAACTCACGTTTCAGTTCCATTCAATCCTTAGCCCCCACAAAACAACAAATTGACCAAGGCCAATTTCGTCATTTTAACTAGCTTCGACCAGGCCATGGTCTCATAATAATTTAGGATGTGTTTGACGGAGATGAAAATGAGTGAAAAATAAAAGGCTGGAAATTATTTTCAAGAAAAATTAATTTCTTATAAACAAAACGTAAATATTTGTTTCAAATACTAATATAATAGACATTTGGAGATTCCTTTTTTGAAATTTTCTAAAATTGTTGAACCATACACTTTGTGTCATTTCTCAACTTTAATCTATAAAAATATGTTATATATATAAAAATTAAGGAGTGATTATTTTAACGGCTTCTAAATTTTTGTATTTTATTTTATTGTACTAGTTATTGAGTTGCTCCATGCTTCATGAGCCCTCATTTAAAAAAAATATATATAGAAAAGTATAAAAAAATAAGGGTAATTAGTACAAAACGTCCCTATCTTTCGATGTTTTTGTGGGAAACGTCCCTACCTTTCGTTTTTTTGCGGATTACACCCTCACCTTTACCTTTTTTTGCGCAAAACGTCATTCTGTCAACTTTCCGTTAAAATATTTCGTTAAATCAAAAGGTAATTAGCACAAAAGGTCCCTACCTTTCAATATTATTGTGCAAAACGTCATTATCTTTCATTTTTTTGGCATAATTAGCACAAAAGGTCCATACCTTTCAATGTTATTGTGCAAAACGTCTCTACCTTTAATTTTTTAGCATTTTCACCCCTTTCACCTTTCATTGCGAAAAATGTCATTCTCATCCATTTTTTTAATAAAATGACGATTCTACCCTCCTATTCAAATAAAACAAAAAGAAAAGATGAATAACCAATTGCAACTATAGTCCTTAAATTTTTAAAAAATTAAAAAGAAATAATAAATTTCCAACCACCACCACTTTCACAACCTATCAAGCTGTCAACTATAAATCAACATAATACCACCTTTTTGCCACCATTCCCACCAGACTCTGTCACCGTAAATGTGGTTGTTTTGGACAGATTGGTGATCAATACTATGGAGGAGGATATTGGGAAGAGTGAGGCGAGGCTGGTGGTGGTGGAGTCCGATAGGTGTTGTGGCTGAAAGGTAGTGCTATATGGATCTATATGTGGTGGCTTGGTGGGGTTATGAAAGTGGCGGTAGTGAAAATTTTAGAATTTATCTGCAATGTTTTGAAAGATTTAGGACTATGATTACAATTAATTATTTATTTTTCTTTTCTTTTCTTTTTGTTTTATTTAAATATGAGGGTAAAGTCGTCATTTTATTGAAAAATAGACGAGAAGGACCTTTTTCACAATGAAAGGTGAAAGGTAGAGGTGAAAATGCTAAAAAATGAAAGGTAGGGATATTTTGCACAATAACATTGAAAGGTAGGGACGTTTTGTGCTAATTATGTCAAAAAATAAAAGGCAGGGACGTTTTGCACAATAATATTAAAAGGTAGAGACTTTTTGTACTAATTATCTTTTGATTTAATGGAACATTTTAACGGAGAATTGACAAAAGGACGTTTTGCGCAAAAAAAGGTAAAGGTGAGGGTGTAATCCGCCAAAAGATGAAAGGTAGGGACGTTTTCCACAAAAAACATCGAAATGTAGGAACGTTTTCTGCTAATTACCCAAAAAATAAATAAATTTAATCAAGACTTAAAAATCCTTCTCAGAGATTTTTCAAGAAACTTTTTATTTTTAAAGAGCATATTTTGTAATTTCAAATGCGTTTATAAATTTAAGGAATAAAATTTTTATAAATACTTCAACAAGCTCTACATCTACATCAAGTTTTACAAAATGAATTACATAATGTCGCATGTTATTCTATCATTATCATTTTAAAACATAGTTAACTTTTTCATCAAATCTTTTCTCTCCACGTCATTTTATGTAATCTCTCATGTACCCTTTTATGTATAAATAGCATAATTATTAATTTTAACACTTAATTTTACTACTCTCAAAAAATATTTATTATTTTTTCCTATCTTTTAGGCACAACCTTCCCTCCAAATTATTCTATTATTTTACTCTGTTGAAAATTGAAATAGTTTGAATGCATTTAATTATAGTCTACTTCAAAATGTTAATTTAAAGAGTCCATTGGAGCATAATTTTAAAAATTCACTCTCTAAAATAAAGAGTATTTCATATTTAAAAAGTCTATTGGAGATACTAGTAAGACATAAAACAAAATTTGCTAATATTCACCATTAAAAACTAAATACCACATAAAAACTTATGATTTAACATATCGAGTTGAAAATCAAGCTCAGTTCATTCCCGAGATCGTTTAAAGACTGGGTCGAGCTCTCATGAGTTGATTAATGGCTCGATATATTATCAACTTTACGAGTATTTTTTTGGTGGAATTGACTGATTTCATCCAATTTTAAAGACATCGTTCTTGACAAGCATGCATTTTTTTGTACACGTTTTATAATTGTTATTTTTACCCAATTTTATTATTTTGACATGTTAACGTCCTCTCTTCTTGTTAGGTGAGCACGAAAATTGCTTGAAAGTAAACTATTGATGACCATCATCGTTATATAGAGGCAACACTTATTACATTAAAATGAAGGTTTAATGAAATGTAGGGATACAAGACCAATTTTATTTGACCTAATTTTTAATGTCACATAAATCGCGATGCACAGCTGTATTATTAAGAGCTTATTTGATTTTTATTTTTTGAGAAGTAATTTTTGTGAAAGTTGATTTTTTTTTTAATAAGAATGAGTGATTAAAAATAGAGAAAATTTATGAATTTACGTGAAAAATTATTCTATCTGGAGAATGTATTATTAAAAATAAATTTAAAAAATAATGTGTTCTAATTCTACAAACAAAATGGATATTTCTTTCATTTTTCTTTGCCATATACGCCTTTACAAACACACAATTTAGGCAAAAGTATATGATTTCGTAGAATGCAAAACAGGTGAGGTGAGGTGAGGTGGTGGGTCCCGAGGAAAGAAGACAAAAAAATTGTGTTAGCAATGTTTTTAGACAGAGCAAGAAAGAAAACAGCGCTGTAGTGAAATTTCCCGTTTTCCTGCGCAATCTATATATGCAGATGTTTATATAGAGAGACAGTGTGGATCCTCTTTTGTTCTAATCGATGTTGTATATGTGTACAAATTCAGAAATGGTTGAATCTGACTCCAACATTTTTCATGAAGCTGCTGTTCCGATCTTCTTCTCCGACAGATTCTCAAATTTCTAGACCTAATACTGACCAGATCGTTTTTTTTTTGAAAAATCATTTTTCAGTCTGGTAATTAATTGAAGTGAAAATTGTCGGCATTTTTTTTTTTTTTTTTTAAATTTTGGGGGAAAGTAGCGGCAGCTCCGATGGGTCCACCGCAGCCACTCGAGTGGAAATTCTCTCAGGTGTTTGGTGAGCGGACGGCCGGCGAAGAAGTACAAGAAGGTGAGAAATGGCTGTGTAAATAAATACACGAATGAATAAAATTGTGTGCTTTTTGGATATTGGAATTGAGGTTTAGGTTTTATTATTTTGATATGCTTTTGAATTGTTAAGTGGTAGAAATCAACTCGGTTCTTGTAGAGTTTAATGAAAATTAATTGGATTTAGGATGGCAATTTTAGCGGGTGGTTTGCATGTCAATTTTAATTAATTATTTGAGGGTTAAGTAGTGTAGGAGCGGACTCAAGTTAAATACAGTTTGGTTCTGGTTTTTCTCACTACGTGCATTTATTCTGTTGTTGAATTTTTATCCTATATTGTACTTTTGGATATCTGTAATTGCTGTTTTGGGTATTTAAACAACTTTTTCTCTATTATGACCTGAAAAAACCAAAGCGCCCATAACTTGAATTGCAAGTGTGGATGAATGTCTTATATGAGAATGCACTCCTCGGTGATTATTTGTACTGCCAGTACTTGTCTTGGGCATGGGCTAGAGGCTATTTGATTATTGAATTTCAGTTATGGTAATGATGGTCATGCAATAGATATCTGAAAAGTCCTCTTGTTATTTTTGGTTGAAGGTCTATGACAATTCCTTTTGTGATTTTGGGTTAAAGCCTATACTGCAATGTAGGACATGTTGTAAAATCATTTTCTGCTTCCAAAAGATTACAATGTTGTCCAGGTTGAGACCACCTAGGAATTTCCAAATGTAGTCAGAATTGTGCAAAGGCTGAACTTTGGGAAGATTCCAAATGATGTTTGTCCTTTCGGCATGCTGTGGCAGTGTTTGAACTTTGTTTTATGTTGTTTTTATATTATTTGTGAAAAACACAAAAAAAGTGACGATTAAGCTTATATCTGCTTCCAAGTTAGCGAAGGTAAGCTCCTTTTTCGAATTACTGTATTTTTTACTGGTGGTTTAGTAATGTACCGTACATCGACCATGTCACCAAATTAGGTTTCATTTATAGACTTATTTGTGCAATGTACTCATTATTATCTTACCGACTAAGGAGAGTGGGCGAGCGTATGGACCATTGGAATCACGATGTATTGAGTAGTGGCTTGTCTATAACCATGGATCCAGGTAAATTGCAATATGTACATTTTTGAGTTTATCTGGATGGTATTTCACATGAGATTTGGATTTTCAACATGTCAATTTTGTAACATCAATTACCCCTCTCATGCAAAAAGAGGCTTGTACGATGCGCATTCAGAAGGGTACCTATGGTGAGAGCAGAGAAGACATTAATTTAGAAGTCGTTTGTGAAGTGTATTAGGTTAACGTATATAGACAGACTTCCTTATTTGGATGATTCAAACTTGATTTGGATTTTCAAAGGATGAGTTTCTGAGCTTCAAAATTATAAATTCCTCATTCCAATGTGTATCTATATCTCTTTGTAATTTACTTCTGCTTGTGCATCTGTACCTTGCCATATACTGGCAACATGGCTGTAAGTAATAATCCACTGATTACCCAAGTCCAAAATATTTTAACCTTACAAAACTACAATTTTTACCCAGTTGTTTGTCAACATGCTTTACTTCTTCCCTGTTCTTCTTTGTGAATTACCTGTACATGAAAAATAAAGAAGTCTATATTGACTGAACTACAGACTGTTGGACACTAAACTAGATTCTTGTGATTGTCTATGAATGGCATTGATTGATCCTACTTTTAGGAACATTTAGTAGTTTGATGAAGCCACTAACCCTTGTAGCCACACGAATCAAATGCATGCATTTGGTGTGTTGTTGACTCTGTCATTGTATCTGTAGTCCGTTTTGTATTAGTTAAGAGCATGTTATTGTTCTCGACTTTTGGGAGGCTTATTTGACTTGCCAAGTAACCGTTGTTGCACGAATAGTTTTTCATTCAGTGAAAAGTGTGGACTTAAATCAGAATTTATCCATATTCTGTAATTTGTCTTCTTATTTTAATTCCTGGAGAATATTGATATAGAGCACCTTCTTTTTACTCCTGTTGCATATCTATGGATTGATTTGTTTCTCTGTTATTTTAGTACTGGTTCTCTTAGATAGATGAGTTTCCAAATTTTAAGTCTTGAATTTTAGAACATGGACCTAAGATATTCTAATATGCCATTTTTGTTTAAACTTTTCAGTTGATATAATCTCTGCAATTGAGTTTGATAAAAGTGGTGACCACCTTGCTACCGGTGACCGTGGTGGAAGGGTGGTATTATTCGAAAGAACTGATGCGAAAGAGGTGATGCTCAAAATATGAGGCGCTAATTTATTTAAAATATAGTTAAATATATTCTTACCTTTTCCTTTTGCAACTTATTTTGCAGCATGGTGGAAATAGAAAAGATTTGGAGAGGATGGACTATCCAGGTACTCGACATCCAGAGTTCCATTACAAAACTGAATTTCAGAGCCATGAACCTGAGGTATTTATTTCGACTTTTGTTCATTGCCTCTATGTATGTGCCCATGAGATTTGATGATTGGTCTTTGTAAAAACGCTGCCCTAGATATTAACAGTGAAGCTGTGAATGGTCAGCTTGATGTCTCTACTCTTTTACTGCCCCCCTAACCCACTCTCTTCAGAATGGAAACCAAAAATAACAAAATGAATAATTAATTTTAAAAAATAATAATGATAATAAATAAATAAATCTTCATAGTTGTTCACTTATGCATTCACTTATTCCTTTCAGTTTGATTATCTCAAGAGTCTGGAAATTGAGGAGAAAATCAATAAGATCCGGTGGTGCCAGACAGCTAATGGCGCCGTTTTTCTTTTGTCGACGAATGACAAAACCATTAAGTTTTGGAAGGTGAGGTAAACAATTTCATTTTTATTTAATCAATGGTCGTGGCTGTAAAGAGAAAGATGTATAACTTTAGTGTTCTAAGTTCATTGTTAGAGCTGTAAAATGGAACTTCCAGCCTCGTGTTCATGGTATCTGGGTCTTGTACTCACTATGCAGAGGATTTGACGCCTTGATTCCTCAATGCACAGGATCTTGCTCTCTGGATTTTTCTTTTTTCTTTTCTTCCCACATCTTAATATGCACTAGTGCATGGCTTTGTTGCTCTCTTTTCTTCTACGAGTCCAGCAACCCGATCTTGTGTTTATAGTTTATGGTTTACATTTCTCTTTGTAAGGCAAATTGGTCTTATGCAAGTTGTAGATCTACTTGGCATGAAGCTTTTGTGTTCATTGAAATCTTAATCAGGAAAAAACTTGATTGGAGGTGTTTGTTAGTTCAAATATGTGTGAGCTGTTATTACTTACATGGAGATTTTCTCAAATATGATTTTATATCACTTGATTTCTTCCCATGATCCAGTTTTTGAGTTCTTGAGAATTGGTTTTTATGCCTTTGTCCATCCCATGATTTTGGTGCTTTGTATTTAACTAAACAGGTCCAAGAGAAGAAAGTAAAGAAAATTTGTGAAGCTAATGTGGATCCTTTGAAAGGTGCTATAAACGGAAGCATTGCCAGTTCAAGCATTTCTTCAAGCCCTAATCAACATATTGCTAATGGGGGCTATCTAGACCAATCTCTCAACTGTTTGAAAAATGATACATCCTTTCTACCTGCAGGCATTCCCTCACTAAGATTACCAGTGGTAGTAGTCCTTGAACTAAGCTATATTTACTCTTGCATTATCAAGGTTTCTGTAGGATCCATCAATTTTTGGGTGTCCTCTACATCAATGGAATTAATGTGCTCTCTCTCTCTCTCTCTCTGAGTTTGATGTATTCTGTGAAAGAAATTGATCATTGCTGAATAATTAAATTATTTTAGGTACTCATTCTCAAACGCACTGAAACATTCGCTATGAATTCTCTACAAATATATTTCTGTGAGTTACATGTATATTTGAAAATTTTTTATTTGTTATGACTTTCTCTCAAGGGTTTAGAGCCTTGGAGCCTGGTTGATTACAAACCTTAGTCTAAATTTTGCATTCACAAGTCTGCAAGTTCACATGGACAATCAGTAGGCAGTCCTATAATACACAAGTTTTAGCTGTCCTTGTTTAATGAATTATCTGTTTTGTTATTTACTCAATTTTCTTTCTAACACTTTGGTTATACTATCTGTAGGCTGCAAGCAATGAGATCAAACTTGTTGCAAGATGTAGAAGAACATATACCCATGCGCACGACTACCATATCAATTCTATTTCAAATAACAGGCATGGATATCCATATTTTATGTCAATAGTTAATGACTACCAATTTTTTATGTATTTTGAGTTTTTATTTGAAACATTTCTCTAATTGTGAGTTTTAACTGCCTCATTACCCCCTGATGTTAACACTGTTGATTTATTCAATTCCTTCTGACTTTAAGGCCTCAAGCTAGAGGAGGGAAAGCAAGGATATTTTTTCAATTTCGTGAAAATTTATATGAACTTAAAGCTTATTTATCGGATCAGTGATTACTATTTTTATTTTCTTTTCCGGATGAAATCACTTCTTTTGAGCTTGTTTTGTCTGCTTCACATTTAAACACTCAAATAACTGTCCCAAGTAGAAGGTTGGCAGGTTACGAATATTCCATGTTGTTTCTCTTTTAGTTCGACTGCTTTTTTATTTATATAAACGAAACGTAGATATTCTTTTTATATGCAGCTTTGAGGAACAGGAGGCACCTGGTTCAAGGTCATTTTTTACTGAAATAATAGCTTCAGTTTCTGATATTAAGTTTGCAAGGGATGGAAGATATATACTGAGTCGTGATTACATGACCCTCAAGGTTCTATCTTTTGTTGTTATTTCCTCCCTTTGAGCTTTATATTCTTTTACTGCTGCATTTGTAACGATTTATACTTTGTTTTTTGAATACATTTTGCTCAGTTGCAGTGAGATGTTGAAAATAAGTGTATGATTCCGGACGACTAATACAAAAATCAGAAAATTTGTCAAGAAAAATGATACTGAGTGATGGAAACTAGTTGCTTCTTGTTGGCGAAGCACTAAGTTCCATTTAGAAGTTGCAAACATAGGAAGAGCTTGAAGTATGGCATTTGAGATGGAAAAGAACCTAGCGCACCACCTATTTAAAGTTCTTTACTCTTTGGCCTCAGAATGCCTTCTATTTTCAAAACCGTGGCTAAAGATGAATACTTGTGCACAATCCTGTGGAGCTAGTATATATTATAATTTGGATTTCAATTTTATATATGGTGTCGATTCTGGTCTGTTACTGATCCATCTTATTTGGTGTCAGTTGTGGGATATCAATATGGATTCTGGTCCTGTGTCAACCTTCCAGGTTCATGAGTATTTAAGACCAAAGGTGAATTACCTTATTCAGGGAAAGTTCTGACAAAGCATTTTCTGCTAATGTTTTTTGAGCTGATTAGATTGTAATTTGATAATGTGCAGCTGTGTGATTTGTATGAAAGTGACTCCATTTTTGATAAATTTGAATGTTGCCTGAGTGGTGATGGTCTTCGAGTAGCGACTGGTTCTTACAGGTATCTTAACGTCTCCTGAGTTTTATCACCATTACTGATGTTTCTCTATTTTTTCAAACTAAATAAATGCAAAAACGATTTCAGCAATCTCTTCCGCGTATTTGGATGTGCAGCGAGCAGTACTGAAGCAACAACTCTGGAAGCTAGCAAAAACCCAATGAGGTACTGCAACCCAATTAGTTGACATGTTGGTCTAATGTTGATTTATTGCATTATTGGTTGTTATTGGTAAAAAGGGAATACTTTGATTTTCCTTTCAGAAGACAAGTTCAGACCCCTTCAAGAACAACTTCCAGATCCCTGAGCAGTAGTATTTCTCGTGTGGTCAAGCGAGGTATTATTTTTGTCCCCTTCTGTCTTTTTCCTTTTTGGTACACACTCTGGCACAATTCCTTTCGTGCATATTTGGCAGAGAGGATTGTATAGGACTGCTTAGTTTGAAGAACTTAAAAAATCATTTTTCATAATACCATCGAGTCCCTTCCAGTTCAGTTCAGTGTAGTTCAATATGGTATATCAAACATGCACTTTCAGGTTTTTAGTTTTTCTCGTTTCTAAGAGTGTTGAGATCTCTCTTGCAGGTTCTGAAAGCCCAGTAGTTGATGCCAATGGGAACTCATTTGATTTCACTTCCAAGCTGCTCCATTTGGCATGGCACCCAACTGAGAACTCAATTGCCTGTGCTGCTGCAAATAGCTTGTACATGTATTATGCATAAGCGATTACTGGAGCTAGATAAAAAAATTTGGGTTGCTACTCAAGAATGCCTCTATCCTTAGCAAACCAAGGCTCTACTATCTTAATCCAAGTGCCTCAATAGAAACGGCGCTCATGATATGCACTAGAGGGCTACATGTCCTTTTAGCCTATAAATGGCTCGCTTCCTTCTTTCCATCCCTTTCTCCCTTGCTATTTCTGCTCACCCAATATTTCTTTTATTTTTTACGACTCCCCTCAGGAGGAAAGATGTGGTTCTGTTCTTAACCAATTAGGTCGAAGTTGGGAAAGAATGTGATTGTAGTTCTCTTACAAACAAAAACTATAGGATGTCCTATATTATCCTAGTTTTAAGGTAAATGTAGTTTTACTTATAAATCTTCCCGTAAGGGAGCTACTGCTAAACTTGCAGGGCATTAAGTTTTATTCAGTTTTTCTTTGGTAGGGCGAAACTTTTCTCATTGTAAATGCCTGCTTTTATTATAGATTTCGGTAAAGGAATTTAAGTTCGGACCACAACTTAGATTTTGGCTGCTATTCACCGTATTTCGGTATTCATGTCTGAGTGAGCAGATCTGTGTCGTGTATTTTGGGCAATCTAATGTCTTTTGAGGATCAGATCTAGGTCATAATTCAAAACCTTAGAACCCCCATCGGGGAGTGAAATAGAATATGAAATTGTAAGCTCCCAAGTAGTGGGAGGAGCCAGGTCTCTGACCGCGTGCCTGTTGAAGAATGAGCCGGCGACTCATGAACCCAATTCATATATTGCATTTGCGGGTAAAAGAGTAATTGAGCAAACATTGAATAAAACAGTACTTGAAGGTTCACAAGCACCTGAATATTTATTCCCCTGCTACATTACAATACTTTGCTCCTTATACAGGAGCAACTTTGACTGAATATTTTATGTACCGTAAACAACACACTTTAATCATTTATGATGATCTCTAGTCGTTAATGGCCATATTTACAATCTGCTCAATGAATTGCAAAACCGACGGGTTGAGGGTGGAAGTTGGGATGAAACTGTCAAAATTGAGAATTGCACCATAAATAATAGAAGTTTAGAATTCAATTGCCATTTTTACTTGTAATTAATAGTAAGTACTAAAATTATTTTTGACAGTACTAATACTATCTTAATTAATAATTTTTATAAATTTATATCAGTTTTATAAATTTTCTGGATTGTCTCTGGAGAGGGCAAATTTTTTTGTATTTAATATATAAATTTTCAATTTTGAATTACGTACCTCAGCAGAGCCTATTTTGGTTTTCCTCTATTGCTTCTCGTGTTGTAATCCTTCACTTTTGCACGTTTAAACAATATTTTCGTTACTATCTTCTAGATGAAAAAACTCACAAAATCTATAAAAATTGTAGGACAAATTATGTAGAAAAATAATGACTACACTTTATTTCGTCCATTTTGCAACTTTCAAGCCTTGCTTTGTTCGCCACATACACACCAGTGACACCGCCACTACAAATAACATAATAAACTTTCAAATTCAAGAAATGATAACATATTCATGAATGATGATAAAAATTTCAAATACAGAATAAAATTACAAATCGAAACATAAAAAGATTTGAACCAAAATAATAATAATAATAATTACTTTGGCGTAACAAAATTTTTATCTGATATATTTGAATATAAATATGTCAAAACAAATTTAGAAAGTAAAGTATGTACAAATGTAAATATTAGAATGCAAAAATTGAGAGGTGCATAGAATTAATACAAAAAAGATATTCAAGAAGCTTATGGACATTAGTGGCTGGATTAATCACAATTATCCCACAATTTCTTTTGATTATACATTTGTTTTAAGAAAAAAATTAAAAAAAAATCTTGATCAGTTAAAAGAACATCCTTTGATGATTCAGTTTAATTCTAGACCCTCTTTTGTAAATAATGGTATTATAATTCTAGCCTATCGTCATATTTTAATATTTGAAGGAGCCAAAAGATTCAGGCCCTCTTTAAAGACTAATACTAAAATAAAAATTAGACAAATTAATTATGAAAGACGAATCTCAGAAACTGGAGCAATGATGGAAGTCCAAAATAATGAGTTCAGAGTAGTAGCACATTGGAATAATGGAGTTATTTTCTACTAAGAGCACTTCGCTATAAGAATCAAAACAAAAAAAATTCCAATACCAAATGTTGAGCAAAAGAATTTATATCTGATTGCGTTTCAGGAAAGTAATTGAGAATTTACAGAAACGCAATTAGATACAGAAGAAGAATACATATTCGATGATAAAGACAATGAAATGGATCCAGAGCTAAAAGAAGCTTACATTGAAATAATGGACAGATAGGTGCAATAATTGAGAACGAAGAAAAGACAAAGTAAAGTTAGAAAGATGAAAAGACGTAAAGAAAAAGAATAGTACTCAATTATCAAGCAAAGTTAACAAAAGGAGGAAACTAGAAGATAATGTCATCATAATGAAGAAAAAAGTTATCAATAATTTCATATAATCGTTTTAAAACCGTCAACCTGTAAAGTTGTACAATATTTATTACTTTCTCTTTAATTATAATCGCACACTTGTAAAGTGATACAGTATCAAAATAATAGACGTGATGTACCAACGTCTATAAATACTTATATTACTCACAAACAAAAACACACCGAGAAAAAACACAAAGCACACTATTACACTTGTACTAAAAAATCTTTCCACAATCTTTGTAAATTCAAAGATTTCGGAATTAAAATAAGTCATTTTCACACTCTCTTATTTATAATTTTCGTCTATTTTATTTATTTTTTGGGCAAGGTCTAAAGAGGAAACACCAAATAAGCAATTAATTCACAAATAATATTTTATTTCTTTTCAAAAACATATTTTTAATACTCTTAGCCTCTTTACTCTAGATTCCATGGGTCTAAGATAAAATAATCCTCTAAGTTAAATCGGCTAATTTATATCCCAATTGTGGGAGTTTGATCAAGCCTTTTTAATATGATGAAAAAAAATTTGGTTACTATTTTAAGTCTTTTTTTTTTAAAAAAAAATGTCAAGAGAAAAACTAAGAGAGAGTTAAAAAAAAAAAAAGATTAATTTGTTTAACGGTAAAGTACTCTAAAACCATTATAATCATATTGTTTTTAAGATCCAATATTTTTATGCCATTAGATAATTATACTTTATTTACTTTGCTTTGTTATTCAATAGAAAGTTTTAAATAATTTATTGATATTTGTTTGAAAATCGAGAAATTGGTAAATTAATTATTATAGAAAGCCACATATTATCGGCACTAGATAGAAATAGGGGTGACTCCCCTTTACAGATCAAGAAGCAAATCATTGAGTTTTCTATCTTTTAGTGTCGGAGTTTCTTGATAAAAAAAATCCTAAAGATTGTAAGAAAATGAAAAAAGACATAATAATTATAAGAGAAAATAAAGATAAAAATAGTAAGATTCCCTTTCTAAGAGAACAAAATATCTTTTAAGATTTTCTTATCTTAGTAGATTTTTTGGAATTGCTTAGAAAATTTTCTATTTTGGCCATGTAATATGAAGACTTTGTAATTGGTATGAAGATTTGTCATTTTCTCTTAATTAGTAGATAAACTTTTTCAAATAACTTAAAGATTTTTTCAAAAGATTTGTCATTCTCCTTTAATTAATGATAGACTTTTTCTTACTCACTTAAAGACTTTTTCAAAATTGCTCAAAGAATTATTCATCACTTTCTACGTAGAGAACCTTACTATAAATAAATAAAATAAGAATTTTTGCCCAAAAAATTTCAAACAAAATTTAATTGGCACATAGACCTTTTCTTACTACAAAGACTTTTTCTTTTATTACAACAAAATCTTACCACCCTAATTGGTATCAGAACTATTTGCTAGTCTAAAATATAATTAGTTTATTAAAAGAGTAGATTACTTAAATTTAGAAATTTTAAAAGAAAAGATTGTTAAGATATAACTTCTTTGATTTGTAATTTTGATAAAAATTTTATGCATCTTTTACACTCTGAGAATAAACAGCTAAATAGTATTGTAAATTTAGGAGAAAATTTAGAAAGAAACACTTTAAATAAAAAGTACAAAATTTATTAGAAAATATAAGTCAAAATATAAAAACTCTATAAAGTAATCTAAAATATATTAAAAATCAAAATATAGAAATACTAAAAATAAAAATTAACAATATAGGAGAAATAGATACTAGTCCTAACTTTAAAAAATTAGAAAGTAAAGTTAAAACATTAGAAAAAGAAAAGTCAATAAATACTAGATAAGATTTAGATAATATAATAAATAAATTAGAAAAATTAGATTTAGGTAAGACTAAATAACTTAGTAAATTTAAGAAAATTAAGTGGATCTATACGTAATGGATAAAAGAAAACAAATTGTAGCCAATAGTAATAAATTAGTTAGTAATCCTTTACTAAAAACATTAAGTTAAAAAATAGAATCTGAAACCAGACTAGAATCTTTAATAGATATAAAAGAATATAAAGAAATGTTTAGACAAAATAAACTAAAATTAGTAAAAACTTTAGACATATATAAAAAAGGAAATTTATTTAGAAAATCTTTAATAGATCAGCATTATGGAGAAAGAAATGTTTCTTTATACATGAAGATCAATTTATATCCCTAGATTTAATATAAAAAGAATCTTATAAAGAAATTATTAATACAAATCTTCAACAGGCACATTTAGGATTCATAATAGTAGGAGTAAAAAGGATTCATAGAGAAAATTTAGGAGCTAAAGTATTAGTATGTTTATATGATAGTAGATTTACAAATACAGAACAAAGATTATTAGGAAACATAGAATTAGAAAAAGTCTACATGCCAATTACATTCTATTTGAATTTTTTTTGGCAAAAAGTTTTATTTTATTTATTTATAGTAAAGTTATCTACATAAAAAGTGATGGAGAATTCTTTGTGCAATTTTGAAAAGGTCTTTAAGTGAGTAAGAAAAGTCTATCTATTAATTAAAGGATAATGAAAAATCTTTTGAAAAAATCTTTAAGCGATTTGAAAAAGTTTGTTTGCTTATTAAGAGAAAATGACAAATCTTACAAATTACAAAGTCTTCAAATTACATGACCAAAATAGAAAAATTTTTAAGTAGTTCCAAAAATTCTACTAAGAGAAGAAAATCTCAAAAGAAATTTTTTTTCTCTTAAAAGGGGAATCTTACTATTTTTATCTTTATTTTATCTTATAATTTTTTATGTCTTTTTACTTTTTCTTACAATCTTTAAGATCTTCTATCAAGAAATTTCGACACTGAAAGATAGAAAGCTCAATTATTTGCTTTTTGATATGTAAAAAGGAGCCACCTCTATTTTATATCTAGTGCGGATAATATGTGACTTTCTATAATAATTAATCTACCAATTTATCGATTATCTAAATGGATATCAATAAATTTTTTAAAACTTTCTATTGAACAACAAAACAAAATAGATGAAGTATAATTATCTAATGGCATAAAAATATTGGATCTTAAAAACTATATGATTGTAATAACCTCAGAGT